AGAGAGAGAGAGAGAGAGAGAGAGAGAGAGAGAGAGAGAGAGAGAGAGAGAGAGAGAGAGAGAGAGAGAGAGAGAGAGAGATTTGGGGAAAATAAGGAGTGTGGGTTATGACTTATAACATGGATTTGGAGGATAAATGACTGCTCTGGTTGGCAGGGCAGAACAACCTATATATATTTTTTGTGACCTGACCTGAAATATGTTTCTGAAGCCATTTTTTGAGCCTGCGTTGTTTATAGTACTCTTCTCTATACAATGGTAAAAAGAACAAGATGGTCCCCTCTGGGCCCAAGGGAAACGTCTGAAGGAAACTTTTCCCGCGGGCAGCTGATACTCGAACAGGTGTAGAGTTCTCTGACGAAACCTTTAAGCGGGGGCAACCAGCAGCAAGTTAGGAACATGGTGACGGATTTGAATTGTGGTGAAAGCAGGCGAAGAGAACAATGTTAGGCGACGATGCTGCGACATGTTTTTTTTTTTTTTTTTTCCCTACTCTTAAGGAGTTCGGCGGGACGTCCGTCAAAATTAGAACGATACGGAGAAGAGATTTGCATGGCCCCTGCGCAAGTATGACATGCATAAATAGATAAATGTTAGAGCTTTTTTTTTGCTTTTCATATTTTATTTTGCTCTTGGTAAGGAGGGTCAGGAGGTTGAATTGTGAGATTAACCGATAGGGTGCAATGATGTCAGAAGTCCGTCTTTTTTGCTTCCCGGCTTTTAGGGTGTACTCTCAATGGCTTGATCGTTAATGTATCTGACTGCATTTATGGTCAGGCATGGATGTATTGGACTGCAATCGCATACAAAAAATAAGTGCACAAGTCCTACTGTGAGTATATGCCCTTTTTGTTGTTTTGTGCTTCTTGCCGCTGGCTTCGCCTGTTTCTCTTCTCTTTTGTTTTTTTGTCGCTATGCGCCCCCGGCCTGTTTGCTTCACCCGTTTCCCTTTTCTTCTGTTTTTTGTCGCTTTGTACGTCGCCTGCTTGCTTCACCTGTTCATCTTTTTCTTTTCAGCCATGTGGTTTTTGTCACTGTGCGCTTGTTGCATGCTTTTGCAGTTTTGAATCGTTGCTCTATCCCGATTTCTATTCTTTTTCTTCTTCTTCTTCTCCTTCTTCTTCTTTAACAGAAAAAAAAAACATTTCATAAATGGATTAAAAATCGATCCCGGGAAACTCACAATTGACCCGGATTTCATCCTGGCATCCTTGGCCAGTTTTCGCTTGTGATGAGATCCAGCCCTTGTCTCACCCTACTCCTGTGTGTCCCTTCCCTGGGAGTTCCTAGACACCCCTCAGCTATCGCAGCTGTCAGGTATTCGTTCTATTCTGGTGTCCCTGGGTCCTCCCCTATGCGGGTCTGTCTCCACTTCTGTCTACCTTGACTTCTCTACCGTGCTCTGCTCTGCTAACCCTTAGTCTCCCCAGATCTCCACCTTCTTTCTGACTTGCTGAGTTGTATATATATATACTACCGTCACGTCTGCCTGGCTCAGTGTTGCACTACAAGGAGTCATTGAAACACTCCGTGAGAAGGATAATCTCTTGTATCAGCAAAGCGGTGTGAGACGGTGCAGGATCGTGTAAAGCGCTGAGGAGGTGATGCTTGATCTCAAACGCAATTCAACTTCTCTTCGTGACCATGCACCTCGCTCTGTTGATTTCACAACTATGTATGCCAATCTTCCTCATGACTGTATTTATCATAATGTATCAGAAGCGGCCGAGGAAGCCTATCAAAAGCTGTCGAGGAAGCCTATACATATGCCTTACAACAGCACACACAGGGGCGTACGCATCCTCCTATCCTTAACATGATTGTTAAAGGTCCTCGTCAAGGGGAGCGGAGCGTTCATACGAGACCAAACACCTCGACTGTTTCCCAAATTCTTGAACATATCTGTTTCATTGTCACAAACACGTATCTTTATGCAGCGGACGGCACCTTGCGACATCAGCTGATTGGCATCACGATGGGGACTAATCTGGTCCGGAGATTGCTAATTTGACGTTGTATTGGGATGAGGCTCGCTTTGTTGATGACCTCCAATGGCGTGATCATGGGGACATCTGCCACCACCGTCAAAGCACTATGGACTCGAATGGAAGGAGACCACAACGCCTGATGGCTCTTGCACATTTTTTGGTGCACGCCTCGAAGTCCGTCTGAGGGTTCCCTGTGTTGAGTGTCTTTGACAAAGCAGCTGAATGGAATTTCCCTGTTATTTGTTGTCCAAGTGCTAGGTCTAACGCCGCTGCACACCAGCCGTCCGGAGTGTTTACAGGCCAACTTACTAGGTTCAAGTATGTTTGCAACAATTGGTACGATTTCAAAACAGCAGCAGCGATGCTCACACTCCGCATGCTTTTTCGCGGGCACTCTCCAACAACGTGTACGAAGTACGGAAGGATGTACTTCCAATATTCGTAAACGTCACAGGTACCCTTTGCACGTAACCCGCCTCTCCAGCTGGTTCCGCAGCATGCTTCGATGGTCTATTCACCACCCGCTTTCTCGGGTATCCACACACTGGTCCTCGGACCGCCTGTCGCAACCCCTTCTTCATTACCGGCGCCTGTCACGCCTATAACGTCTTCTTCATTACTTGCGTCTGTCGCACCTGCGTCCTCATCAGTCTTAGTGGCCTCTTCCATGCCGATTGTGACCCTGGGCTGCACCTTCTCGGTTCGCAGCCTCTTCCTCATCGGGCCTTGGTTGCTTCTACGATTGATTCCGCGGGAGCAACTCGACCCGCAGCTTCTGTGTCGCCCTTGGTCCCGGGGTGTTCCTCCATGGCATCCGTGGCGATACCTGCATTACCACCTACAGAGTCCCCTTTTCGGGTCTCACCTGCGACTGACCCCCTTGTCTCTGCTTCAGCCACTTCACCACCCCTGACTTCACCCCCCCTGTTTTCACTGCCTTATCCCCTGGTTCTATCTCCGTCTGTTGCCCACGTTCCGAGTACTCTACCACCCGTCTTCACCACTCCTTCCTCCCTTGGTTTTGTCGCCATGCATTACCCCTCGTCCTAGTCCACAAACTACTTCGTCCACACGTGAGTTATATGGCGATAACCCGACTCTGCATCCCCCACAGGATGGTTATTACACTCGACATGGGGGATTCAATGTCTCTGTTTTGGAGACTGCTTTGATAAGGCGCCGACTTGATATGCAGCGTGCCCCTTCGGAAAGCGACCCGGACCACTGTTCGCACGTTTGTGCCTATATTCTACATACTCCTAGCCACTACACCGATCTTGTCAGTGCCTCTGGTTCTTGGGAATTATGGAATGGCGGTGCTATGGTGTAAACTATTACTGACGTCTGTGGTCTCGTGTGTAATTACCCTAACCTGCATCTGTTCCATGTCATTGATCCTATGGCCCTATGGGTACCTAGTGTACGTCCATTCCTGCCTCTGTAGATGTCTCTGTGCCTGTTTCTGTGTCCGTCTCCTTCCAGGTTACTGACCCTATGAGTACCTCGTGTACGTCTGTCCCCGCCTCTGCACCTGTCTTTGTGCCTGCCTCTGCACCTGTCTCCATGCCCGTTTCTGTGTCTGTCTCCGTGTCTACCTCCATGTCTGTCACCGTGCCTGCTTTAAGAAGGAGCAGTAAAAGAAGAACATAAGTTTGCGTCATTTTACTTTGTTTGTACCCTGCACCCTAACACCCTCAAAGAAAAAGTCTGAAGGGTGAAAATGAGAAAAAAAAGTGAATAAGGAAGTGCAGGTGCGCTGAAGAGCGAACGTGGTAGACTCTTCACCAAAACTGCAAAACTGTGAAAGAAAGAAGAAAAGCAGTAAAAGAAAGAAGATGTTTGTGTCACCTTTTTTCAAATTTTCTCCCTCTGCCTATCGATTTTCCTTTTCTGCTCCTCTCTTCCTCGTGTTTAACACCTCTTCCTTCACTCTGCCTCTTTCCCATAGCGTGCAAGTGGGCTGTCATGGTATACGGGGATGGGGGCAGCTCGAGCTCAACTTCATCAACGTGGCGAGCCTTGTACGTTAGAGGCACGTTGGAGAAGACTGAGAAACTGAATGATATCAATGTGTCTTGGTCTTCGATTTTTATCCTTTGTTTAGTGTAATTGTTTTTTGTCAAACACTCAAAGAATTGAAAGAAATAAGAATACAGACTGTTTTGTGTCATTCTAGTTTGTCTCTCTTTGCCTGTCTGTCCTTTTATTTTTCTTCTTCTACTTCACGTGCTTTCACTCTTAGTCGATAGTTCTGTGTCGGCAGTTCTATTTGACGATATATATATAAATATATATATATATATATCGTCACAAATAGAACTGCCCGGTAAACCGTAGGCAGAGAGAGAGAAGAGGACAACAAACAAGGGGCTGTGACAAACTGTTTATATATATATATAAGTCCGTACGTACGGAGGCCCCCGGGCGGACCTCCGTACGTTCGGGCGTACGGGGTCCGAACCCGACGGCGTTCGGCCCCCGCCAAAAATTATTTCGGGGCCTAAAAATACTTGTTTTTTTCTGATTTTTTTTTATGAGTTCTCTATGCCGTGAGGTACATGCCTATAAATTTTCAAGTCATTCGGCTTAGCCAAATAAGAAGTAA